ATTAAAAGAAAAACCAACAACAGAGCTGCTGCCTCGTCAGCTCCGGGCTGTGAACCCGGTCCCGGTCTTCCGGCGGCTGTGAACACGGTTCCCCGGCGGGGTGTTTTCGGCCGGGTTTCGGTTGGTCCCGCTGCGGGACTCGCTGCTGGTTTTGGTGCTCAGAAAAAGCGGCGGAGTGATCCCTCTTCACCCCGCCCCTCTCTGAAATCGTTCCAATACGTCAGCTCGTCCCGTCCGCTCGGTGAAGATGTCTGCGACGGGCTCAGGCGGCTGTGGACCCGGACCCGCCTCGGGCGCCGGCTCCGGGGCGTCCAACCCGCGAAAGTTCAGCGAGAAGATAGCACTGCACACCCAGCGGCAGGCCGAGGAGACGGCCGCCTTCCAGGAGGTCATGATGGACATCACTTCGACCAGGGTGAGTGAGAGGCGGCGGCAGGAGGAGGAGAGCTGCCGGAGGAAGCGAGGCCTTGTCCGGGCTCGTCGGGCTCCGGATAAGCGCTGTGCGGTGTCTCTGCGCGGCGCTTTGCTGAGATTTGGCGCAGTTTTAGCGGCGATCACCTCGTGGGGACGCAGTGTGTGGGTTTTGTTGGGTGTTTGTCTCTCCTGGACGCGCTGCTCTTCATTTCCGATACATCGTTAGCGCTCGAAGCTAACGCGGCTAACTTGTCTTGTTTACTATGTTACGTGAACGTCGCTGTCAGTCCCGCAGTGTCCCGCAGAACTCCGGCCAAAATCGGATATTTTAACGCGGCGTCACCTTACGTCACACACACATCCAACACCTTCGACTTAATTAATTCGGGGTGTTTATTTTGTTCCTTTGGCAACTTCGGCGTTAATGTCAGCCATTGACAGGCTTTGCTTTCAGGTAGATGAAGCTTCCATTACTCGTGTTTTGTGTCTCCTAAGGAAAATAGTCTGATTTTATTTTTGATTTGTTTCTTTGACTTGTGGAACAAATATGTCCGTTTTACAGATCTGACGTGGTGATTTTATCTTTGTCCACCCTGCCCGGGAAAGATTACCTTAAATCGTGCATACTTTACACGGACTGGCGGCGCCGTTTTAATGTCAGGGTGGGCGATTGGTTCGGATGTGTTAACGTCACCTTGTCATTGGTGATGTGTGGGTGTCACTGTGATCTGAAACACGCCCTCAGGTGTGAAGCAGGTGACAGGTTCGGCGTGTGGAGGCAGGTGGTCTCTGCTGGTGTGTTTACTGTCGTGGGAAAATGTGGGAGTCTGGCTGTCAGTTTATTTATGATGGTTTGTGGTCGTTTCTGACAAATTTTTACAAGTTTAAAGGCGTGTGTTTCTGAAGCTAGATGAAGCTGGTGTTTATGTTCCGAGTCCAGTCCGTGATGCTGCAGTGGGGTTTGGAGTTTTAGGTGCGTTTGTGTAATTTTATTAGAACACACAGAGAGCGTGGCACTGAAATAAACCACACAGTGGTAAAAGTTCATCCTTCAAGACTTATTTTGGGTCAAAGTCAGCAAACCTTTATTTTGAAATAAATGCTTCAAAATAAACCTTTATTCCTTTTAGTTTCACATCAGATGTGACAGTGATTCTGCACATAGACCACAAAATTAAAGGTAGTTCAGGAGATGCCTGAAGGTGGCTGCTGAGTGGTGGGACTTGCGTATGCACCACGGTAGGTCACAGCTTCTCCTGGACTCAAACCAAAGAGCCGTGGGCCCGACGGCTGAACAGAAACACGAATGCTTCAGGCTGACATCCAGTCACGTCTTGAAACGTTTATTTCATACACGAGTGAATGAGAAAAGGCTCAGCTCACTGTTTATGAGTGTGGTGGGCTGTGGAGGCATCTCTATTCTTCCTGTCTGGAAGCTGTGAGTTGCTCTGGACGCTGCTGCAGGTCAGACAGTCGTCTTCCCTTCTCTGTTGAATTGCAGCTCCTGCTGATGGTCCTGGTTTGGTTCTGGAGGGTCACTCGGACCAGAACCTGCAGCAGCTGCTGCACCGAGCAGGTCCAGCAGCTGCAGCTTCTTATCATTAGGAGGGGCTGTTTAGTCTCCTTGTGGGGTCGAGTTGGTCCTGAGAAAGGCCCTGGTTCTGTGCTGGTTCTGTGTAGCTCAGATGGATTTAGTCACTGTGGATCCGGACTGATTGTTTAGGTCTTCTGTAAAGATTTTGGCCTCCAGGGTTTGTGAAAGCATCCTCAGGTTTGATGGTCTGACCCTCTGGTTTCATGATCCGCATCATTATTGGCTTGACCTCACTGACAGGTGAATGGTGTCAGAGCTGCTCAGTCATTCGTCAGGTAGGAACCTGCAGGTCTGTAGCAGATCCAGGAGTTTAACCCGAGGACATGATCGAGCTCTCTCTGAAGGAGGATCTCTCTGGACCCTCTGCGGTGTGAGACAAACGTCCCCCCCATGATTCAGCAGCTCGTTGATCCTCCCTCAGCAGTTCCTGTGTGACTTTATCAGCCTGTCAGATCTGAGGAGGAGTTTGGCTCCGCTCTTCTTCACAGCGTTGCTTCAGCTCATTGAAGTTTGCTCCATTCGTTTACGCACAGCTCTCTGAGCTCTGCACTCTGGGCCGCTGCAGCAGCTCCGTCTGCGCTCGCTTCAGCGTCCTGCCGATTGGTCCGAGCTTCAGCTGCGGGACACGCGGCCTCGCTCTGATGTACCGGGGAGTTCACGGTCCACGCGGGTCGTCGTCCCTCCTCCACGGCGCTCACAGCGAGCCGTTTGCTGCTGTGCACTTTACTCTCGTCTGCTGCTGAAGTCTGCTGCAGCTTTACAGACCTCAGCTGGCTGTCGTGACCTTTAACCTTCTACATGAGGCCTGTGGAGTCTGAGATCTGTGGGTTTTTCAGGATGAATGTGTTGGGATGTTCACTCCTGGGAAGACTGTGGCGTCCTGTTAGCACACCTGAGTCTGCTGTTACACAGGTGCTCACACCTGCTGCTGAGTTCATCAGTGGGCAGCAGTAGTCGCTCCTCTTTAGCTCGTCTGTAAGGACGGACGGGTTTCAGTGAGACGGGTTTCAGTGAGACGGGTTTCAGTGAGACGGGTTTCAGTGAGACCGCTGCTGTAAACGTTTTTTCTGCCTGTGACATGAATGAATGCAGAATAATCGAACCCTGAACATGAATAGTGTTTGCTGCTCGCTCTCTGCGGGTCGACGGTGCTGGTGTTGGTTGTTCAGAGGTCGTCTGACATGCTGTGCCTCCTGTTTCACTTCACTGCTTTTATTTCAGGTAAGAGCACCTTTCGTGCAGCAGAAACAGAGTTTATGGAGGCACTTCCTGTGTCTGCAGGCCACAACACGTAGCGTGGTTTTTCTTCTTTAGATTGCAGCTCGTCGACAGTTTGAAGTTGTTGTGAGAGGAAACAAGGCGGAGCTTATCTGATCTGAGAGCAGGTGATGGACATTCAGGTTTCCCCCACAGACCTGAGTTTGTAGCTCTGAGCGTGTTTCAGGTGTTTACTGAACTGAAGCCACAGCACGGAGATGTTCCCGAAGACGTCTCCGGTTTGGCGAGTTCGCTGCTTTCAGGGCTTCAGAGGGCGACGCCTCCAAAGGACAGCAGGCTGCATAGACGCTCCCGCTGCTTTTTGATCGCCGTCCATGTGACTCTGTTTCTGCAAAGTCTTCCATATCTGAAGTAGGAAAAATGCCCGAACTCAGCTGTTTGAAGCTGTAACCAAATGACTCCCAAAGAATTCAGCGATGAGTCAGTTTGTAAGGAAATGTGTGCGGGTCACTGACTCGCGATCGTCTGTGCAGGAAGTCACCGTCACGCTCACAGGAAGGATGTCGGCTTTCAAGCTTGGGATAAGAATTAGAGCTGGATGTGCTCTTCAAATAAATGTAGATCTGTGGCCGTGCAGATGTCAGCCCCCCCGGGGCGTTCTCACACTACAGGTGTCACGTGGTCACAGGACGGCGTCGTCGGCGTAGAGGAGGATTCTTGCAAAATAAAACGGGTCCATGTTGGAGTTAGCTCAGGCGTCCACAAACACGTGGATGGGATATTTCTGAGCTAACAGTTTGCTGTAATTTCACTGCTTCAAGTTCTCTGGACGTGTTTCCATTAGCGACGGGGGCCATCTTTAATTATAACATGAGCGTTTTTCCAGATTTTGGGTTCAGAATGACAGTAAATCGTCTTCAGTTCATTAAAAAGTTTCATTTCTGAACATGAAACTCATTCTGTGACAGTATGACGAGAAAATAGTCGCACGAACTGTCACAGCTTTTGTTTGGGTGTTACTTAAGGTAGTTTTTGTGGGCGTGGCCTCCTGCCGTTTTGTCCTGACTGAGGCAGACAGACGAGCTCATGCCGGTCACGCCGTCTCTGCACTGATGTATACCGCGGCGTGCACGGCGCCTGCAGCCTGAAGCGATGGACATGGGTTGTGATCCTCATCGGCCTCGGCAGAGACGACGTCTCGGGCAGCGAGGAGGTCCTTCAGAGCCTGAGGAGACGCTGTGGGTGGAGCTAGAGCTGGGCGGTGTCTTTGTGAGGTCGTCTCATTATGGAGGGAAAGCTTTTCAGTCCAGTTTGTTCTTCCAGCTGAGCTGCTGCGCTGTGCTCGGCACAGGAAGTCTGAGTTTATTGTCAGAGGCCCGCCTCCTCTCACGATGGAGATGATGGCAGCGGCGGGCAGCGGCGGGCAGAGTCCTAAGGCGGGAACAGATGTGTGGTTCGGGCCTGATGTTTCTGAATCCCCCAAACTTCACGAACAAAAAAGGAAATTGTTTGTTGTGATGAGTAAGTTCAGAAGTGGGGGAACAGACGACGGCCTTGTGGCGTCACAGCAGGCGTTGATGGCGCCGTGCGGGCGCTCCGAGCTGCTGATGGTCTCTGTGCAGGTCTTTGGAATGACATCATCAGCTTCCTCTGCAGAGGCCGCCTCCTCCTCGACGTTGTGCCGCTCGCGGTCCTGGCTCTGGTCTGTGGGACCCTCCGGAGCCCAACCGCGACCCGCCACACTCAGCAGACAGGAAAGGGCCGGGCTAGAAACTTTCAAAATAAAACCTGAGGCCATCATATCAGGCATGAGCTCTTTAGCACGAGTTGAATCTTTCATGTGGATAATCGAGCGTTTGAGCCGAGCTGACTTTACTGTGCAGTGAGAGCAGATTATGATGAGGTCGTGTCTACAGA